CGCTGTCCTAGAACTCATTCTGTAGACCAGGCTGGCCTCCAACTCACAGATATCCACCTGCCTCTGCCTCCTGAGTGCTGGGATTAAAGGCACAGGTCACCACTGCTTGATGTTTTTCTTTCTTTCTTTGAGACCGAGTCTCATTGTGAAGCTCTGGCCAGCCTGGAACTGAATAAGTAGACCAGGCTTGGCCTCAAACTCACACACATCCGTTTACCTCTTCCTTCCAAATGCTGAGATTAAAGGTGTGCACCACCATATTTGGCTATTCATTCATTTCTGTCTAGATTTGCTCTGATTGGATCAGAATAAGCTCTCTGGCCAGTTGTATTGTCTAGTCAGGATTTCTATTGCTGCAATGAAACACTATGGCCAACAGCAAATTGGGGAGGAAAGGGTTTATTTGGCTTACACTTCCACATCAGTGTTCATTATTGAAGGAAGCCAGGACAGGAACTCAAGCAGGGCAGGAACTGGAGGCAGGAGCTGATACAAAGGCCATGGAGGGGTGCTGCTTACTGGCTTGCTTCTCATGGCTTGCTCAGCCTGCTTTCTTATAGTGCCCAGGACCACCAGCCCAGGGGTAGCCCCACCCACAATGGGCTGGGCCCTCCTATGTCAATCACTGATTAAGAAAATGCCCAATCTTATGGGTTTTTCTCAGTTGAGGTTCCCTCCTCTCAGATGCCTCTAGCTTGTATCAAGTTATTATAAAACTAGCCAGAACATGTACCTTTGTAGGAGGTCCTAATATCTATAAGAATTGACAGGTAGTTCCCTATTTCAAACTGCTTAATGCTAACTACTGTGGCAACACAGGGGTGAAGCAGAAGCTTCTGCCTGGAGTGAAAGAGCTGAAGTCACAGAACTGCCTTTTGGGCTGACAATGGAGCAGTGGTAGTGTGTCTAGCATGTTCAAGGCCTGGGCTCTTTCCCAGTGTTGCAAAACAAGACAAAAACCAAAAGCAAACAAACAAAAACCTGAAAAAAAATGCAAAAAGAGGAACAAAGCCCCAGAACCCAGAAACAAAAAATAAAGGAACAAAAGGGTAGCTTTAAAGGTTTGCATACTTTAGGGTTCAAGTGATGGCATACTCCTTTAGTTCCAGCACTCAGGAGGCAGAGGCCAGTAGATCTCTATGAGTTCGAGGTTAGCTTGGTCTACATAGTGTGTTCCAGGTCAGCCAAGACAACATAGTGATACCTTGTCTTAAAGAGATAGAGGAGGTAAGGAAATAGGCTATTTAAAATCTTTGTTCTCGTCAATTTTTCTTTGGTAGCCTAAAGATAATTACGATATTTGAATTGATGTGTATGGGAAACTGGGTCCATACTGAAAGTTCTTGGGAGGCAGGAAGGTCACTTTGGTCCAAGAACCTGAGACCAGCCTGGAAAACTTGCTGAGATCTTGTCTCAAAACCAACCAACTGAACAAGACAGTCTCAAGTTTATGTGGGGTTCCTAGCGCCATCTAATGGTAGGAAAAGAAAGACCCAACCTAAAAGATTCCTTTAAGCTCCTGGCTGGCTCTGGTGGCCCCTCGGGTTCCTGCCTCTGGCTGGGCCTGGCCTCATTTCTGTATCTGATCAGCCTGTCTACTTGACATGGGCAGCATCACTGCTGAAGTTCTTGCTAGGCTGTTTCCTCCGTCTGGATGTCTGCTCTCTTCGCTCCTACAAGACTTTGCCAAGAGGAGCTAGGAAGCAGGGTCCTGGGTAGATGCTGCTCCCAGCATCCTGTTGTTCATCAGAACCCTGTTCATGCTGCCTCCACATTGTCCTGAGATTTTGACCTGCTTCTTAGGGCTGGGTCTGGAAGGAGACAAACAGGGCGGCTGACACACAATCTTTAGGAGTACCCACTCTCAGAGCATGCCCTTCAGCTTTGTGTGCATGGTGCTTAGTTACACTGTCCTCTGCCGAACTGGGTCTGATGGAGAAGCAACATGGCAGCACACAGCCGCCACAGCACGTGCTCTTTGTGTTAGTTAGCTAGTTAGTTAGCTAGTTAGTCACAGAAAAATACCAGAGACACTCAACTTGTAAGAAGCAAAGGGTTCTTCTGGCTCACAGTTCCAGACCGTGACAACTTGGATCATGATTAGTTTGGGGTCTGTCACAAAGCAGGACATTATGGTGGAAGTGCCTGGGGAGGAAACAGCCATGGTGGGGGGTGGGGGGGGCAAAGACAGAACAGAGGGAGTAGATGCTGACACCCCAGTATCCCCTCTGGGGTGCACTCCCACTGACCTGGTCTCCTCCTATGAAGCCCAACTGAAGTTCTACTATTTCCAGATGACAGCACTGGCTAGGAGCACATGGGCTGTTGGAGACCTTCCCAAACTACAGCAATGTTTTTTTGCTTTCAGGGAGCTGTGGGCCTAGATCTTGTTTCCCAAAGGTTAGAACAAGGCTCACTAAACTTGTGTCTTCTAGTTCAAAAGGGAAAAGTCACAAATTTTAGTGATAAAAAGAAAACCCCTAAACCAGACAACCGGTCTGCAAAAGCTCGTCGATTCTACCACATTGAGTACTTTTTCCTGCCTGATGACGTAGAACCCAAAAAAGTTGATATCGTGGTGTTTCCTGGAGTGGCCAAAGTGTTTCTGGACTCAGGAATAAAGGTTGGTGGTGTGTGTGTGTGTGTAGTGTGTGTGTCTTTGCATGGAATGTCACACTGAGGATACAGAAGATGCCCCACTGACCCACAGCAGACCCAATGGCGGAGCTTTCTAGATATGTGGGATCCTGGGTAATCTCCTGAGTGAGATGCAGAGTGGACCTGCAGATGTAATTACACAGATTCTTCTTTAGATGCCTTTACCCTGTAGTTTCTTGGATGTTTCATCAAACAAGGTTTTTGTTGTATTTTATTTTTTAAGCACTGAGCATTCACTGTAGGCCTTGAAAGTTCTTTCTTCGTATGTGTATATATACACGTGTGTGTGAATGTTCAAGTGCAAGGGCTATTCCAACATGCAACACACATGGGAACTCCCGCAAAGGTTTGGCTCTGCATCATTGATGGGAAGTAATCACCAGGGACACTGCGCATGCATTGGCTTAAATTGTGGTTTTCAAGGAACTGGTGGCCCTGACAGGGTCCAGTGCACAGGGCCCCACTTCCCTGGGATTTGGAGCTAGGCGAGAGGCAGCCACAGAAGGCAGCTAGGCAGAGGGTGTCATACCTGCTATGTTGCTGCTGGGGCTAGGCTGTGGGAAGTGCCTGGTCTGTAGGTGAGTCCTTCATTTCCCACAGTCTCTGAACGGTATTTCCACAGACCGTGAAGCCATGGAAAGAAGATGACAAAATCTGGGTGTCATGGAGCCAGACCTTTAATGTCAACATGACAAAGGAATTATTAAAGAAAATAAACTTTCACAAAATCACTTTGAATCTCTGGGACACCAGGGACAAAGTTTCTAAAAAAGTCAGATACCACCGGCTGAAGACAGCTGTTTACACGGAAGACCCAGAATCTTTTGGTAAGTCAGGTGTTTTGCTTGTATTTTAAGTGTTCCTGGCAACTTGTGTTGGACATACCTAGTCCAGAAATCTAAAGTCTGAAATGATATCAAGTATGGTACTTTTTTAGCGCTGACACAATAGCTCAAGTGGAAAATTCCACAACTGAAGTCACATGACAGCAGAAGGTGGTCAAAACAAAGGCTCATCAAAATACCTTGTAGTGTCTCCTCTGGACGATGGAAGGAGTATTCACACAGCAAGAAGGAATCTCCTGTTTTCGAGTTGGGCTTCTTCCCCTAAGACACTTCATTTGTATACGAGAACATTCCAAAATCTGAAGAGTTCTAAGTCCCAATCATTTAAGATAGAGGATTTTAAATCTGTAATCAGAGTAAAAGTGAGTGTTCCTTTGTCTTGGAGTGTGCCATCTACCCAGGACACACCTGGGGAGTCATGGTGTGTCTATGTCCATGGGCAGTGTCTATGTGCCTCCCTTACCTTTGGTGACCTTTTGTTCCAGAGCGGCTCTCAGATGAGTTTTCATCACTAGCCTGTCTCCCCAGACTGGCAGTGGATGTTTACTCAAAATTAAATAGGGATACCAAGAAACAAAAGAAGAGTTGTGTATACAGTGTAGTGGTAACAGGCATGTGTTGCATGTATGAATTTCCAGGTTCTGTCTTTAGTTCCAGGAAAAGAAACAAACTGTTAAGAATTCCACCTCCTCCAGCTGGTATGGTGGCTCATTTGGTAAAGTGTCTGCCATGCAAATATGAGGACCCAAATCTGACCTTCCAAATCTCATGGGGAAAAGATGGGTGTGGTGACATGAACCTGCAACTATAGTTTTGGGGAGGTAGAGATGAGGGTCCCTGGGACTTGTGACCACAAAGGCTCATCAAAATACCTTGTAGTGTCTCCTCTGGACGATGAAAGGAGTATTCATACAGCAAGAAGGAATCTCCTGTTTTCGAGTTGGGCTTCTTTCCCTAAGACACTTCATTTGTATATGAGAACGGTATCCTAGGCTTAAGAATCCCTTCATGTATTACCAGGTGTCCTTAGTGGGTTTGAGTCACCACTCACTGAATACCACTGATTTAAATCTAAACTCATATCCATAGAGTTTCTATGGAAGAAAATGGGACCAATATATAACTTTTGTCATTCAGACCAAAGGAAAGATTCTTGTCCTCAGGATGTGGGCTACTGGCTACCTGTAGATGTCCTTTGTGGATTCCAGGGCCTGGCCTAAACTGGAATTTCTGGTCTGTGTCTGCGTCCCACTGGAGCGGGTGTTGGGACAATAGCTTCTACATGGCCTGATGAAAGGACCCTGGAATCCAGTGAGTGAGAAGAACGAGGTCTGGACCCTGCAGGGAGAGTCCATGGCCTCTGCCTAGGGTGCTTTGAGTTGTCACAGCGAGAGCTTTTCCTTGAGTTCTGTCCCAAGCCTGGTGTCCCTGCCTCTTATTTTAAATACATTTTTTTTCCATTAAAGGAACAGTAGATATTCACTACATAAAACCCAGTTAGAAATGTCTAGGAAGAAGAAAGAAAAACTAAAGCCACACAGTGTCTGTCCAGAGATGGCCATTATTAAGAGCCTCCCTGTGGATCTGTCTTTTTTTTCACGTAAAAATACCTAAGTAAACACCTTATTTCTTGGGAGTATAGAAACACCCTAAGAGGGCTGTTCTATATGGCAGAAGGACATTCGTTTGGCAGATCATGTGCTAGAGGTCAGTGGGACATCTGTAGTAAAGCTGGCCTTTGTGCTTCCTCTTGCTCAGCTCCTTGGGTGTTCAGTGTTGGGTGAAAACTTCATTCTTGACCTCCACAGATGGTATGGTAGCCTCTGCTACACTCCCAGCACCTGCTTCCTACTTGACGAGGGTTTTCCAGAACTCTGCCCTGTAGCTGTCTGCATCAATTCTCACTCTCTTAGCATCTTTCTCCCCACCCTGTCTCCTCTCTCCTGCTACCAGGGCCAGTATCTCTCCATTGATCCTGGTGTTTCATTGAAGGTCTTTTAGGACTTGCTCCCTCGGGCTCCATTTTTGTTGTTGTTGTTGTTGTTTTGTTTTTCGAGACAGGGTTTCACCGTGTAATTTTGGTTTCTGTCCTGGATCTCACTCTGTAGACCAGGCTGGCCTTGAACTCACAGAGATCTGCCTGGCTCTGCCTCCCGAGTGCTGGGATTAAAGGCGTGCGCCATCGCCACCTGGCTCCGGTTCCATTTTTTTGTTGTTGAAGCACCCACCCCCTCACTCAGGACACTGAACTCCTGACAGGGCTTCCTTCTGGCAGCTGGCCACATCTTGGGGGCCTCTCATTCCTATCGCTTTCTCCAAAAATTTTATCTGCCTTTCAACAATGAGTCAGATTTAGCTTCTTCTTTTTTTACTTCTTTCTTGACGATTCCACGGTCTTCACTTACTCCCATATTCACTTACACATTCACAATGTATTTATGGAATGCTTGATACTGTTATGAGTGGGAGGCTTCATGCTGACAGAGAGACTGGCCTGGGGATGCAGTTCCCTGCCTAGGGGCAAGGACTGCATGTGGACCTGGTTCTTCTAAGGCAGTGGTTCTCAACCTTCGTGATGCTTTGACCATTTAAGATAGTTCCTCATGCTGTGGCGTGTAGGTGGACTTCTCCTGTCTTGACTGCCTGCTACCAAATAACCGACACAGAAGCTTAATATTACTTATAAATGCTCGGCCAATAGCTCAGACTTGTTACTAGCTAACAAGCTAAATTAACCCATATTTCTTACCTATGCTTCGCCACATGGCTCATTGCTTGTTACCTCATCTTCTATATGTCCTGCTTCTTTGATAACTGGCTGGCTTCCCCATGACTCTGCCCTTCCTCCTTTTAGAGTCCTCTGTATCTCGATGTCCTACGTATACTTTCTGCCTGGCTACTGGCCTGTCAGCTTTTTATTAACCAATGGGAGTAATACATATTCACAATGCACAGAAGGATTACTCTGCAGCAGTGGTGACTACCACCCCCCAACCATAAAATTATTGTTGCTACTTCTTAACTGTAATTCTGCTACTGGTATGAATCATAATGCAAATATCTGACATGCTAGATAGTTGATATGGTGGTGACCCACAGGTTAAGAACCTCTGTTCTAAGGACTCTGATATGGAAAAGTTACCTAAGTATCAGATTCCTCATGTATAGATGAGGAACATGGCAACTCCTTCCTTGCAGTGAAATGTGGAGATCCAGTGGCATAGCACACACAGGTGCTCAGGGGTACTGAGGTACAAGCACTTGTCCCTAACAGATATGTGACCCAGTTTCCAAGTATTTGGTGGCAGTGTCGTAGATTATCCTCTTGTCCTCTGCTATATGTCCATGGGAGGTGTCAGAGGACTGGGCGTTTTTGATGGATCCATTTTCTCATTCCAGAGGAAGTGAAACTTTTGGTTTTAAGTCAGAAAAGGTTGTCTACAATTTCCAGTCATAAGCCCAGCGTTGTCCCTGAGGAGTTGAAAGAAGAGAACCCACCAGGTGACCAAGAAAAGGCAGAAAAACACTTGAAGTCTCCACAAGGTGAGGAGTGATGGCTGTGGACACCCGAGCTCAGCACTGTGCCAGGAGAAAGGCCAGTATGCATCCCATGGCCCATTTAGTCATTGCTCCCGTGCCCCTGAGAGTCTTGGTTTTGATGGTTGATTCTTCTCCCTTTCCCTGCCCTGTCCTCTCCCGTTCACTTTCCCTCTTTTGATTTTTTTGAGTCAGGGTCTCACTAACTTGGCCTAGAACTTACTATGTAGGCCAGTAGGCCAGGCTGAGTGTGAAGTCTTAGCCTCCTAAATATTGGAATTGCAACTGTGAGCCAGTGTGCTGCTGATTTAATGGATATTTGTTTCATGACTTAAAAACAAAGCAAAAAACAAACAAACAAAAACCCAACCCCACAACAATAAAACATTTTTGGGCTTTGGAAGCTAATTTTAAAAGAAAATCCAGTCACTATAGAAAAGTCTAAAAAAGTAGGAAAATAATCTATGATCCCATTGCTGATTGCAGTGGATGAGACATTTTGGTTGTTTTGTTACATCAAATCTCTCTGTTTTTGTTCTAGGACTCATTTTGTTTTTGTTTTTAGCATATGGGTTTACCCAAGATACACACAGAGCTTCTGTCTTCTGAGAGGGTTTGTATATCATCACAAGCAGCTCCCATGTCCTTAAGAACTTTCTATAAACTTCGTTTGTGGTGGCTATGTAGTATTTTGTAATATTTTATCCAAAAAGACTGTAATTTGGCTAACCCTTTTCTATAGTTGGGAACTGGAGACTCTGGGGAGTGCTTTCAGCATTCTACAATATATTGATAAGCAGTACTGAAGCAACACTTCCACATAGAGTAGACTTTCCTCCTCCTCCTTGACCGGTAGGGTCCCACTCACCTTCATTTGTCTGGTGTGTCCTTCACTCGTTAAGAAATCCTGCTTCTGAAGGAAGCTTCTGAAGCTGCTGTGTTAGGCCTTTGCCAGCAGACGCGTCACTGATGTGAGCAGGGACATCATTTGCTGGGAACCAGCACTGAGTGAAGCTCGGAGACTCTTGTTAACTTTTGATTCTCACCAAGCAGAGCCTGAAAGCTCTTCTAAGAACAGTGAGGAATGTGAGAAGTCACTCAAGACGGAAGACCCCTCTGGATCTCGGTAAGGAGAGCTGCTTACTTGGTGTGGGAGTAAGGCCCCTCCTCACCAGCCCAGCTCTGAGTCATTATACATTCTTTGGCTGGTTTTGGTTAAGGTGGATCTGAAGCAACCTAGGGAAAGGGAAAGACCAGGGAAGGAAAGGAAGCTGGTGCACTCTTGGCAGGAATGCTTTTCTGAGACTGACCCCCAATCTCTGAAAAAGGCAGCAAGGGCCTCCACTGAGTTTCACTAAGTCAGAAAGCTGGCATTTGGGGACAGCCAGGATTCTAGCCTGCAGCCTCAGTCTGTGGAGCCTCAGCTAGGGCTTCCAGAAAGTCACCACCCTGGGTCCTCAGATAGCCAAGCTGGTTCTGGAGAAGTAGGGTAGAGACTGGAAGTATAGCTGTGGGTCTGGGGTGCTATGAAGAGAGCCAGGACCACATGCAGTAGGCAGTGGTGACTTCCTCTGCTCAGTCTTTGGCGACAGTCTCTCCGCTGCTCAGGTTAGGTTCATACTCTCAAGCTCAAGCCAGTCTCCTGCCTAAACTTCTTGAGTGTGGGTCTGAAGGTGCATGCAATCATGTCTAGCTAACAATTTTGACTTTTAAATATTGTTTTTCATTGAATTGTCATATTAAATTGAGAAAATTGACCTTTATTTAACGTTATCCCACTCATGATCATGGCATATCCTTTTACTTAACATGCACCCTCTTTATAGACTTTCATGGAGCTAATATTTACCTCCTGTAGATGTTGTAGATAATTCTTGAGGGTTCCTAGATGTTTCATAGTTTTAGCTACTTACAGAATATATTATTTTTCTTCCCATTTTCTAGTTGGTTTGAACCTTGGTCATGCAAGCATGGCCCCCGGGTCATGGTTACTAGAGAGTTCAGTAGACTTAATGAGTCCCGGGTTGCCCCAGGCTCCTGAGGCATAATCTACATTTGACAAAATCCCTAGACTGTTCACATACATATACTTTTAAGAAGTAAGTAAGGACCAGTGAGCATATTCAAGACATGGCACCTGTATGCCTTCTCTTCACTATCCTGTCTCTGTGAGGATTTTCTAGACGGACCCCGGCAAAAACACCTGTTTCTTTGGCTGGAACAACCATGATGGAGATCAATGAAATTATCGAGAAAGCCTCATTGAGTAGCTTAACAAACATGATAGAAAAACAAAAGTCTCAAAGTAAGTTATGATGGGATTTTGATATTTTATAACGTAATTAGACTTGAAATGTTGTGAAATATTTAAATTTAAGGTTTTTGAATAAAATTGTTCAGCATCTAACAACATGTTAGATATTATACTGTATTATATACACTTTCACTTTCCCATCAGTCAGTCAATCCATCCATCCGTCCGTCCATCCATCCACCCATCCATCCATCCATCCATCCATCCATCCATCCATCCATCCATCCATCCATCCGCCTATTTGTCCATCTGCCCATCTGTCTGTCCATCTATTCATGCACAGAATTTTGTTTCTTTCCACTCCACCAAAAGTTTTGTATTCCTGGTCCATGATTCCATGGGTATGCAAATGTAGACATGAAAATGTCTGCTCTCTAAAGCAAACTTCCCAATGAACAGTTGGACACTGCATGGTAGTGCTGTGTTTGGGGTAGGTTCCGAGTTGTTGGGGTTATGGAAAAACTCTTCAGGATAGACAAGGGATGGTTTGCTTCTTGGAGAGATGAAGGGTATAGCATCTTATGTCATGGGCTGTCTCATACAAAGCATGAAATCTTGGCCTGCAGAGCAATAAGAATCCTCAGAAGCCATTTGTCCTGGTTGAGGTTTTTTGTTTTTGTTTTTTTTTTTCCAACTTGATACAAGTTAGTGTCATCTGGGAAGAGGAACCTCAACTGGAAACATGCCTTCATCAGCTTGCTGTAGGCAAGCCTATATGACATTTTCTTGATTAATGATTATTGATGTGCAAGGGTCCAGCCCACTGCGGGCAGTGCCATGCCTGGGCTGGTGATCCTGCATTGTATAAAAAAGCATGCAGAGCTAGCCAGGAGAACAAGCCAGTAAGCAGCACTCTTCCATGGCCTCTGCTTCAACTCCTGCCCCCAGGTTCCTGCCAGCTGAAGTTCTCTATTTGGTTTCCCCTGATGATGGCCTGTGACCTGTCAGCCAAACAAACCCTCTCCTCCATAAGCTGCTTTTGGTCATGGTAACAGAAACCCAAGACATCGCTCAATCCACCTGCTCATTCTTAGCCTGGACTCTCTCACTGTGTCTTTGGTAATCCGATGGGTGTCCAGTGGGAGTTGAGGCTTTCCTGGATGGGTTGCTTCGCCTTACTCCTGCGTAGCTGCTACAGCTGTTTCCTCCCCTGCCAATCATCCAGATCTTGTTTGGGTGCTGGAGTCTCGAGGTGTGGTCCCCACACTCACATTTGAATTCCTCTCAAGTCCTCCAGAAGGCTCTCTTTTCTAGAAAATGTGTTTTCAGCTTAGTGAGGGTTTTCAAACCATTCCTTTTATTTTGAATAAAGACAGAAAAAATTCACAGAAAATATAACAACCATGTGCCACAATTTAAGATTTAATATTTTGCCATATTTCACCATTTCTTGCTTTTTCTACATGTATATTTATGTGGTGTGTGTGTGTGTGTGTGTGTGTGTGTGTGTGTGCGCGCGCGCGCGCGCAAGCTCATGCACACACATGTGGTTCCACGAATGCCACAGTACACATTTCAAGGTCAGAAGGTTGACCCTGGAAGTCCATCCTTGCCTTCCACTTTGTTTGAGACAGGGTCTCTTTTTTCTTTGTGGCTACATACACCAGGATAGCTGGCTTCTGGGGACCCTCCTGTCTCTCCCATCTCTCCCTGAGAGCACTGGAACCACAGCTCTGTACTACTGTGTCTGACTTTATGTGAGTTCTGGAGATTTGAACTCAGGTCCTCATGCTTGTGGGTCCTTTACCCATAGAGCCATCTCCCTATGCCCTCTTTTCCATTTTTTAAGGAACAAAAGATCACAGATACAGTATAAGTGCTCACGGCATCCTGCTTTTTGAGGGTCATCTTTCTTGTTTCCTTCCTCCAACCCACTCGCTCTCACACATTCGAATAACAGTGTTTTTATCCCTGTGAAGAGTGAAAATTGCTCAAAGCTTTCCAACACCTTTAGCTTGCTCTTTGTGCTTAGCTTCATTTCTGAAGCTTACTCATGTCCACATGTGTAAGGACACTACCTGCTTTATTCCTGCTTTTGTAGAGCACCCTGTCAGATAAATATCCATCATCCCATTCTGTCAAAGGACACTTGAATTTCCCAAGGGGCTTGCTGTCCCTGACACCATTGCAGGGACCACTGTGTTCTCATTGCTTGGGAGACTTGGGGACAAGCCAGTTGTCTGTGCCCGGTTTGGATGTTTCTTGCCTAGGTGGGGCTCCACTGACCCCAGTGATCCATGTTTAGGGTTTCCCTTTTCCCCCTTCCAGTGCTCAGCCACATTGGCTCTATACCCTTGGCTTCCAGTGTGGCTGTGCAGTATTGTAGAGGCTTGTGCAGTCCCGACTTTACATGACCTGCCTCACACCATCTGCTAGTTATGGATGTCAGTGGCAGATGACCTTCCCAGACAGGGTTTATGGCATCCTTTGACCCCACTTGTGGTGTCCCGCTTTGTGTAGAAGTTATTTCACTGCCTCTTTCTAGTTTATACTATGCTATACACCTGAGAAACTCTTCCTTGGATGATGCCAGTGTAGGCTCAAGAGGCTGTTCGATGATTCTGAAGTTTATTCTGGAGTTCATTGCGGAGATGGTATGAGATAGCCCTGCCATTTTAACTGCTTAAAATGGTCTCTGCAACTTGCTGGAAGTCCCTGCTTTCCTGCTGTTTTGAAAGGCCCCTTGTGGCTCCAATCAGCTCTCCCATGTGTATACCTGGGCCTGGACTTTCTAGACTTTTCCACTGACTGTCATGCTCCCCAAGCTAACAGCTTGTGCTGTTGGCTGAGTTCAACTTGAGCTAAGCACTTTTTCTTTTTTTTCTGTTTTTATTTTTTTATATTTTTGTGCATGTGTGCATGCATGCATGTGAAGGCAAGGTCTCATTGTGTAGCCCTGGCTGGTCTGGAACTCTCTATGTACAATGGGATGGCTTCAAACTCACCTCTGTGAGTCCCCCTGCCTCTGCCTCCTGGGTGCCAGGGTTAAAGGCATGCACCACCAGGCCCGGCTGAGCCGAGCATTTCCTTCTTTGCTCCTGTTCTCTTCCCAACACACTGCTGTCCTCAGACAGATGAGGTATCTAGGGTCAGAAGCCCCTCCCTGCTCCCATAGGAAGGTGGAACTGGGCTTAGATGTTAGCTCAGCCCCATAGCCCGACCTCAGCACTGTTCTGTGACTCAGTGACTTAAGCATTGGAGCACAGTACAGTGTCATCACCATGATGACCTTGGTCTCAGAGGGGTTGGAGACACCCTCTCTCCACAGCTGCCAATAGCTGATGATAGTTTGTCACCTAAGTTCAGCTATCCCTCTGGTTGTGAGGAAGAGACAGCAGTACAGAAGATAACCCTGATTTCTAGAAGCTTCCAGAACCTTCCTGATCTCTATATCATATGTGAATGTACATATCGAAGCATGGCAAATCCCTTCTTAACATTTATTTCATTTGCTTCGAAAGTTAAAGGGAAAGATTCAGAGGTGAAGAAGAAAAGTCCAAAGAAAGTGAAGAAATATCAGACAGAGGAGGAAGCAGACCCGAAGCTGCCAACAGCCGCCACCTGGAAGCCGAGTGTCTTTTCCATCCAGCTCTCCGTCATGCCTCTCCTTGCCGGTAGCTAACGCGTACTTAGAATGCTCACCCGTGAGGCACTTGTGGTGACTGAGATCTTGCTCTGTCCCTTATTTCTCCCTCACTGTCACCTCAGGAATCTCTCAACTATACAGAGAAAGAAACACAGGCCCAGGGAGGTTAGCTACCCTACAGCATCACACAGCTTACCAGTGTAGAGTCAGGAGTTCAATGTGAGTGTTTGACTCCAAAGTACAAGAAAACCCGTGAGAATAACTGTCATAGTTTTGTGTGGTAAAGAAGGCACCACTCTTTAGTGACTGCTTCCCTACCGGTCCTCATTGAGGTAAAGGGAACAGAAGGATGCAGTTTTTATGGACCATTTGTGACATTTACTTCTCATGAGAAGCTTCTGTCCATCCACACGACAGACTTAGGATGGTGTTGGGGGCAGGGGTTTCTCATTGTCACCATGGTTTTCTAGTGAGAAAAAATCATGCTAAGTAACCTGCCCAGCACGTACAGGTCAGTAGTGGAGCAAGAATTACTTGTAAGATTTTCTGCATTTTATAAATTATGCTTCCATCTTCTGACAACCAATAAACAGACATTTATTATATTCATATATTTTGATGCAATCTCAGGATACATTTTAGATTAAATTATTTTTTTAAAGAAGAGTAATATGGGGTGAATTTTTTTTTTCTTTTCTATTTAGAGAAAATAATTTCAAACTTTTCCCAAACCATTTTCTGGCTTTTCACTCTCAGGAGGAGTATGCGCCCTCCACTGGCTATTTTGTAGAGGTGCAGGCTTCGTTCCGAGATGGCACCAACCCCCACACCTGTCCAGTCAAAGGGTCACAGAAGACAATGTGTGTAAACTGCTCAGTACAGGGTCTTGCCAACAGAGGGACTCTGAGTGGCTGGTAGGGAGATGACAGATCATTGGGAGAGGAGAGATGAACCCCAACCCTTTAGAGCAACTGCAGGTGGCAGTCAATTAGAATGGCCTTGACTCGTGGCCAGCTGCTTTCAACGTGAAATCATAGCCTGAGATTATCCATTCTAAAACGCATACAATTTTGTCTGGTAAACATTTTTCTATTTTAGGTTAGGCCAGAGGTTTTCTATACCATCATAGAAGACAGCAGTTGGTTCCCAGTGGGATTTTTGGGAGATCCTGAGCTTGGGCGTGAACTCTTATATTAAAGGAGGGGGTCATGTATGGAGGGCTGGGGTGAGCTGGCAGCCTGGATTTGGAACTTAACTTAGCCCCATAGCCCGACCTCAGTGCTGTTCTGTGACTCTACAGGGTAAGAGTTCAGAGTCTTTGGGCGATTGCTTAACGTGTCTGAAGCTCCGTTTCCCTTCCATAAAGTGAAAACGACAGCAACCCCAGGAGAGCATGTCCAGGATCAAGTGACAGTGATGTCTGTTTAGAGCTCACCTCTCCTTCCTTCACATAGCAGCAGGGCGTTTCCTCTGGGAAACTGGGTCTCACGGGGGTGACTTGGTAAGGGCAGAAGCACTTTTGGTCATCATAACTGGGAACAGGGTGCTCCTGACACCTGTAGTGCTGCTGCATGTTCTTCACGTGCCCTGGGTGGCAGGGAAACAGGGTGTATGCCACAGGTGCCCGTCACATTCTCTTCAGATAGCTGTTTAATGACCACAGTTAAAGAGCTGCCTACCCCTCAGCTCCAGGTACCTATACGGATGTCGCCTGCCTCCATTAGCATTTTGTTTTCATTCAGCTGCCTGCTGCAGCTTGACCAGTGGGACTGTCTGAAGTGAAGGCCAGGCTCCAAATCTGCTAGCCTCCAGCCACACCGCCACGAAACACTTGAAATGTGGCCAGTATGGAGAAGGAACATGGACAGTGGGTGCTGTCGTCGTGGCAGAGGTCTAGAACAGTGGCTGTATAGTCACCTACCAGTGTAGGAGCCACACACTGGACCAGTTGTCTCTATGTGGGTGGCACCCATGCACCAGAACTTGATACTGTACTCAGAGTGATTCAGAAAATATACACCGTACCTTTAGATGATCAAGATAAAATAATAAAAATTCAGTGCTCTTAGGGAGCTTAGACTTTTGTTTAGAACATTGGCATTCAACATTCCACCTGTGGGCATTTCCCAGTTTTTCCAGTTCTGCGGATAGACTCCATGGCTTTGGATATACTAGGCAAAACCCCGATTACTGAGCTACATCCTAGCTCTTGATTTTTGGAAACAAGAGTCTTGCTGTGTAGCCCATTCTCTGTCTCAATCTCTGTGTGCTAGGATCACAAATGATTGCCATCACATCCAGTGTTCTGATTTCTTCTTAAAGGCTTTACCCTGTAGTATGAATCTTTATTTAAAAAATAAATAAATAAAGACAACTCATATAAAGGAAAATATTTAACTGGGGGCTTGCTTACAGTTTCAGAGGTTTAGTTTATTATTATCATCATGGCGAGAAGCATGGCAGCATGCAGGCAGACATGGTGCTGGAGAAGCAGCTGAGAGTTCTATATTTGAATCCACAGACAGGAGGAAAGGAGAGAGCCACTGGTCCTGGCTAAGGCTTTTGAAACCTCAGAGCCCACCCCAGTACCATACTTTCTCCAACAAGGCCACACCTCTGTCCTTCTCAAGTAGTGCCACTCCCTGGCGACTAAGCATTCAAATATATGTACCTATGGCGGTCGTTCTTATTAAGTCACCACATTCCACTCCCTGGCCTCCATAGATTTGTAGTCATATCATAATGCAAAAAATGCAGTCAGTCCAACTTCAAAAGTCCACATAGTCTATCAGAGTTTCAGCACCATTTGAAAGTTCAAAGTCTTTGACACTCATGGCAATCTAACTGTAACTTCATGTAAAATCAAAATAAAAAAGCAGATCACGTACTTCCAACATACAGTGGCACAGAATATACATTGCCATTGAACTAGGGAGGGAAAGGGAGCACAGTGAGGAAATACTGGACCAAAGTAAAACCGAAAACCAACAGGGAAACCTTGAAATTCTGCATCTCCATAACTCAGGCCAAAGTGCTCTTCAGATCTCCAACTCCTTCCAGTGTTGCTGACTGCAGCACACTTCTCTCCCTTGGGCTGCTTCCACTCCCACTCTGAAACTCTCCTCAGCAGGTATCCCATGACTTTGGCATCTCCAACATCTTGGGGTCTTCAGTACAATCCAGGCTTCACCGTCACAGCTTCACACAATGGCCTCTTTGGGCCTCCATGCAGGAACACCTCTGACACATGCCTGTCCTCAGCATTTTTCCTTAGTCACGGGGGAGAGTCCATGAACCCTTCCTGGTCTTCTTGACTCTAAAGCCAGGACCAGGTGGCTGAAGCTACTAAGTTTTGCCGCTTGCTGGGTCTGGAACTTGGATCCCTTGTTCAATTACATTTATATCAGCATTCTGTTCTACCCCTTGTCAACTTGACACACAATCATATCTCTTCATGGTTTCCTTCACTCCTTAAGCTTTCTTTAATTCTTTTTCACAAGTTGGAAGCTTAGCTGGGTGGGGTCTTGCTCTGTGGTCACCACTCCCTTTATTCCATATAGCACTAGGCTTTTCTTTAAACTTTTTAATCTCCTAGAGCACTGGACTTTGCTCCATTACATTTTCTGGTGCTCTTTTGCTCCTCAAACTGTGCATTTTATACTTCTCCTTGCCCCATTTTCTCCTTTTCATTGTAGATCTGCATTAGGAGTGACTATTAGCAAATGACACAGTCAATAAATACTAGGTTGACTTGAGATCTTTTCTGCCAAAGTCCTCAATCCCAAACTCTTCAATTTAGCTTCAGGCAGATTTTTAGGACAAGGGCAAAAAAGCAGCCACATTCTTTGTCAAAGTATCACAAGAATGGTCTCTAGGCCACTTACTAATATTCTTCCCCTCTAAAACTTCATGAGTTGAGCTGTTATAATTTACATTAGTCTCAGCAATCACTGTCTTCTAGGATCCTACTAGTATGGCCCATCAAGTACCACTTAAAATGTTCAACTGGGGCTGGAGAGATGGCTCAGAGGTTAAGAGCACTGACTGCTCTTCCAGAGGTCCTGAGTTTAATTCCCAGCAACCACATGGTGGCTCACAACCATCTATAATGAGATCTGGTACCCTCTTCTGGCCTGCAGTCATACATGCTGTATACACAATAAATAAATAAATCTTTAAAAAAAAAAGAAAGAGTCCTTTAAAAAAATGTTCAACTCATTTCCTAATATAAAGTCCCTAAGTCTACATTTCACCAACAAAAGAGGATAGTCAGGCCTGTCATAGCAATACTCTGCTCTCTGGTACTTCTGTCTTAGTCACTGTTCTACTGATGTTTAGAGACACTATGACCAAGGCAACTCTTATGAAAGAAAGCATTTAACTGGACGTTTACTTACAGTTTCAGGGGCTTAGTTCATTATCATCATGATAAGGAGCATGGTGCTGGAGCAGTAGCTGAGAGTTACATCCTGATCCACAGGGAGAGAGGGAGAAAGGGAGAAAGGGAGAGAGGGAGAAAGGGAGAGAGAGGACAGAGAGAGCAAGCTTCCTTTTTCCATGCACTTATATAGGCTACCAGTAGAAGGTATGGCCCAGGTTAAAGGTGGATCTTCCCACCTCAAAGATCTGGATTAGAAATGTGTCTTCCCACTTCAAATGATTTAATTAAGAAAAAAATCCCTCACAGCTGCACCCAGCCACTTGGGTTTAGTTAATTCCAGATGCAATCAAGTTGGCAACCAAGAACAGCAATCGCAAGTCTGTAGGTGAAGTTTCTCTGTGTCCCAGCAACTGTTCCCAAATAACCACACAGAGACTTATTATTAATTATAAATGCTCAGCTGATAGCTTAGGCTTGTCTCCAGTCAGCTCTTATAACTTAATCTAACCCATTTCTATTGATCTATGTGCTTCCCTGAGGCTCATTTACCTCATCTATGAACTTCCCATATTGCTTCTTCCGAGTCTGACTCAAGACTCCTCAGACTCCACCCTCCTTCTTCCCAACAGCCTCTGTGTTTTGTGTCTGCCTCTACCTTCTGCCTAGCTACTGCCAGTAAGCTCTTTTATTAAACCAATTAGAAGGAGCCCTGGCAAAGATATCTTCTCAGTATACAAAAAGATTATTTCATAACACAAATCCACCCTTTATCAACTTGACACACAATTATATCTTTTTATGTCATGTAATTTCCAGATAACAGCAATAACCAAGTCATAATTATGTCTAACATGATATAACTATCCTATGTACAATTGCAAACACATTATATATTTAACCATAATTACACCTAATATGATATAACTATCAGATATACAACTACAAATGCATTATATATTTAACCAGGTCATAATTTTGCCTAACAGGATATAACTATCCCATGTACAACTGAAAACACATTATAAATTTAGAAAAGGTGGCAATGCCCCTTGAGGGACATTCTTTCAGTATCTCAAATTTAAATATGTGTAACCACTGATACCACTTTAATTGATGTTACATTGCATGATAAAAAAATTGAGGAAAGAGAACACAATATTTGTACAAACACATTCTTAACAAAATGCAACAAATGTTCATGCCAATTATAATTCTCTTTTCTGCCACTGGTCATGTGACCCCAGCTGGTGTTTATAACTACCTTCCTCTACTACCCATTCTGTATTTCTTCCATCCTCAGCAAATACCTCAGCAGGTCTTAATTGCTTTCTTGGATGAGTGACCCATACCTTCATTCCTGAAGGGTCTGTACCTCTTTCATTCTGCCTAGGTTAGGTTGTTGTAGTTACCCATTGACTTTAATCACAGAACGTGGTAGACCTTAAAGATCTCCTACACTCCAGGCATAATCTTTCTTACCTCCTTTGTGGAGAAGCAATCTAATTTCCCCTTGGTAATCTGGATCGGTACACTTCCTAACACTGTTATTCCTTTCTTAGCCTGTAGACTTAAAGCTATTAGAAGCCCAAAGTGACTTTGGTGGGGGTGTGAGGGTGGTGTCTGAGCTTCCAGTTCAATGGAATGTTATGTCTTCGAGCAGTAATGCCAGAACAGTAGTATTTAGTTTTATCCTATCCCTGGGCTATTTAGTCTCAGGTTCTTAGCCACCCAAGTAGCATTGAGTATGGGTTCCATCTCATGGAGTGGGCCTTAAATCGGATATTTTTGGTGACTCCTACAAGCTTTGTGCCACCATTGCTCTAGCATATCTTGCAGGCAGGACGCCATTGTAAATCCAAGTTTTGTAGCTGCCTTGGTATTTGCATTTCTCTTTTGGTAGCCTGCAGAGTACCTTCCTGTACCAAAGATGCTAGCACCCCTTGTGGTTATGAATTTAGCATCAGCTCTTGTCACATTTCTGATGAGGACCTGCTTCTGGACATCATGGGTTAAGGGGGCTAATGCTCTGTATGTTTCCTTCTAGGCTGGCAAACGGTCATCAGCCGTGGCAGCGAGAAGTCTGCCGACATTTTAGATTGCTTTTTGACTTTAAAAACTGAAGTTCCTATCATGACTGAAGAGCAAAAACAAGACTTGAACCCCTTGACCATAAAGATCAGGTGTGCCTCTTGCCTTCCGATCCAGCCTTTATCCATTCATGACCTGCAGGTAAGAATGAATGCCTGCTTTTCTCATTAAGAGCAACTCCTTATCCCACTCAGGTGGCTACTGTGGGTCATCTAATCTTTCAGGTGCTCAATCCAAGAAACATCACCCACGGCTTACCATAAGATTCTGTAGAGAGACATAAAGAGATGAGGTTCCTGAGAGTTGGAGCCACCCAATCTGAGACTTTTCACTGCTCCCTAAGTGTGCTACAAGTGGAGATCACTGGCCTCTTCAGAAACATGTGGGCTCCCCTGTCACAGCAGTGGCACCCAGATGTGTACTTGCTGTTGTAAACCCTCCAGGCTCAGTATTACTCTGTATCCAAGGAGTTCCCTCTTTCTTCTCTGGGTCATGGTTTCTAGGACTGTTTTCCTCTTCTTCTATTTGCTCTTTGGTTTGGCTGAAACACATTCTTTAGTATATATCCCACCACCACATTATTTCACTTTCTAAAAGTATCTTCATATTCCATATTCTCATACTTGGGAAACTGGCTTGGTGTCTTAGTTTGCTTTCTGATGCCATGATAAAACACTGAGTAAACCAATTTGTGGAGGGAAGGGTTCATTATATCTTAAAAGTTAGAGTCCATCATTAAGGGAAACCTGGGAAGGAGCTCAAACAGGAATCTGGAGGCAGGAACTGAAGCAGAGGCCACAGAGGAACACTGCTTACTGACTTGCTCTCCATGGCTTGCTCAGCCTGATATCTTTATTTATTTTTTCTTTTCTTTTATTATGTTTTGGGACAGGGTTTCTCTGTGTAGCCCTGGCTGTCTTGGAACTCTATGTAGACCAGGATGTCTCAGCCTGCTTTCTTGTATAACATAAGACCACCCACAGTAGACTTAGGTTGGGTCCTCCCACATCATTCATTAATCAAGAAAATGCCCTACCATCTTGCTTACAGGCCAATCTGATAGAGGAATATTCCAACTCACCTGATGACTCCAGTTTGTGTCAAATTGATAAAACCCAAAAGAAACCAAACCAACGTAGAAACAACTAGCCAGCACAGTTGGGTTTAGACTCATTGGTTAGAAATCAATGCTTCAGCGTTTTGAAGGCATTGTTACTTTCCTCAAAGACTGTAGGATCTTTTTTTCACCTTCTGAAGCTATGGCATGTGGTGATTTCAATGAATGTCTCCCACAGTCTCGGGCAGTTGAATGCTTAGTTCTCAGCTGGTGGGTCTACTTGAGAGGTTTAGGAGATGTGGAGGAAGCTTCTTGGAAGAAATACATCACGGGGGTGGGCTTCGAGAGTCCGAAGACTCCATGCCATTCCAGGTTCACCCTTTCTGCTTCCTCTTTGTGGTTTCAATGTGAGTTCCCAGTGTGCTGCTTCAACCACCAGGCCTGCCTGATGTCACGCTTCCCTGTCATGACGATGCTGGGCCCCTGTCCCTCCCTCTGGAACTGTAATCACCAATCATCCCTTCTAGAAGTTGCCTTACTCATGATAAACATCATGAGTTTGTCACAGCAATGGAAAAATTAACTAACACATGATGAATCTTAGTGTGAGTGTATTCCCATAGATACATTGCATTTTTCTAAAAGAGAAATCCACATACATTGTACATTTCTTTTGAAATGTAAGTATATAAGAAGTATATAATTAAGTTTAAAAAATCCTTTTCCCAGAAGGATGCCATTGAAATCACAAGTCTCTCTGTGCCAGTTGAAATGGCTAACCCTTGCTCGTACTGCTTTGTACTCTCCACCGAATTCCCAGAAAAGGCAGGCTCATCCTTTGTCTTTCGTTTGTGTTTGCTAGAATGTCTTACAAGCAGAAGCTACACTAGCCATCTTTTAAAGCATGGTCGCTAGAAACAAAGGATCTTAGTTTTCTTCTCAGTGAATAAGTATCTGTTTCCCTTCATCCCTGGCACGCATCTTCACTGGTTTGGTATTCTAAATTGATGAGGTGGTCTTCTTCTTCTTCTTCTTCTTCTTCTTCTTCTTCTTCTTCTTCTTCTTCTTCTTCTTCTTCTTCTTCTTCTTCTTCTTCTTCTTCTTCT